CACAGAATAATGCAGCTACATGATTTGTAGACTAGGATTTCTTAATCTTGGCACTGTTGACCTTGGGGGCAAGCTAACACTTTGTTGGGAGCTGTGCATTGTAGCATGTTTTGTAGTATCCCTGGCTTCTACGCACCAGGTGCCCCCTCTATTTGTGACAACCAAAAATGCCCCCCAGATGTTGCTACATGCTGGGGTGCTGGATGTGGGAGAGAAGGCAAACTGCCCAGAGTGAAAACAACTGATAAGGGCCTAAACGAATGTTCTAGAAATTAGATTATAATGTATAATATAAAAATTCAACTGTGTTTTTTTCTTATAACTTATGTTGTTTGAAACTTTTATTATCTTTCCTTTTATGGTCTAACAAAAAGGCAGCTATTTTCTTTTTTGACAAAAACAAGAACAAAAAATTTATAAATAACAAAAACAAATATAATTTTTTTTTTTAATTGGAGTCTCACTCCATTGCCCAGGCTGGAGTGCAATGGGATGCTCACAGCTGCCCCAGCATTGACCTGCTGGGCTTAGGCGATCCTTCCCCCTCAGCCTTGCAAGTAGCTGGAACTACAGGGGTGTGCTACCATGCCCAGCTAATTTTTTTTGATTTATTGTAGAAATGAGGTCTCACCAAGTTGCCAAGGCTGTTCTCGAGCCTCTGGGCTCAGGCAGTCCTCTCACCTAGGCCTCTCAAAGTACTAGGATTACAGGCTTGAACCACTGCATCCAGTCAAAAACAAATATGTTTTTTATAACAAATTTTCTGTAACCAAAAAGAACTATAGTGATATTTTTTTTGTTGTTGTTTTGTTGTTGTTTTGTTTTTGTTTTTGAGTTGGAGTCTCACTCTGTCGCCCAGACTGGAGTGCAGTAGCCGCTCCCGGCCACCGCAGCCTCGACCTGCTGGGCTCCAGCGATCCTTCCGCCTCAGCCTTCCAAGTAGCTGGAACTACAGGCGCGCACTACCACACCCGGCTAATTTTTTGATTTATTGTAGAGATGAGGTCTCGCCAAGTTGCCCAGGCGGGTCTCGAACCTGCGGGCTCAGGCAACCCACTCACCTCAGCCTCCCAAGGCGCGGGATTACGGGCTGCGCCACTGAGCCTGGCTAGTGATATGTTTTAGTCTGACATGACTTACAAAGCTTTGGTTAAATTTTAAAATAATATTTCATGTTTAAGAATAGCTAGCAAGTAAGGAATCTTGTAACTTTATGCTCTTGGCTTATTTATCTTTACAGATTATGCAGCTGTGGACTGACCCATTCATTTAATCAGTGAGATTGATCTTTTTTTTTTTTTTTTTTTTTTTTTAGTTGGAATCTCACTCTGTCGCTCAGACTGGAGTGCAGTGGCCGCTCCCGGCCACCACAGCCTCGCCTGCTGGGCTTCGGTGATCGTTGCGCCTCAGCCTTCCAAGTAGCTGGAACTTCAGGCGTGCGCTACCACACCCGGCTAATTTTTTTTTGATTGTAGAGATGAGGTCTCGCCAAGTTGCCCAGGTGGGTCTCGAACCCGCAGGCTCAGGCAATCCACTCACCTCAGCCTCCCAAAGGCGCAGGATTACAGGCTGAGCCACCGAGCCTGGCTGAAATTGATCTTAAACACTTCTGGGGGAGCACGGGAAGGAGTGGAAGGAGTGTTGCTCGGTTTGGCTTTATGACTTTCCCTGAGCAGCATTTCACCCATCTGGCTTTGATTCCTGAGCTCTGGCAGTCGTACATGGAGTGCTGCTCTTTGAGAGGCAGACCCACTCCATCAGAGAGCTCAGCTCTGCTGTCAGCTGTGAGTTTGTGGTGCCTTAGAGAATAGTCCCATCTCTGCCCCATTCTCCCACAGGAGACACAATCACTTGGGAACCTAGAGGTGACTGCGCACAGTGGGGATGGAAGCTGGATGTGGGCATCTCTGCATGGTTAGGCTTCTGGGATATGTAGAATTTTGTGTTGCCCGACCTACTGTTTCTTGAGAATGTCCTTAAGAATTGGCAATAAAGGAATGATGTTGTTCAGAGGAAAGCTTGATTTTAAGTCAGAAATGGATAGAACTCTTGAATGTGATCCTTTTTTTTTCCTCTCTCTTTCCATCCCCCCAGCCCCTGCCCCTCATTTCTTTAGTTTTAAAAAAGAAAAAAAAGTTCTAGGAATGACCTTAGTATGTACAGTATGTCATATTTTTCTTAGTATGTCAGATTTTTCTGGTGATCCACAGTATTAAAATAGCTGATGAATCATTTGGGTCTTTTGTGGCTCATGTGTTGCAAAATAAGAATTGTAGCAGTTATGTTGGGGAGTAATTATATTATGGAAGCTACATATTTATCAAATTGGTTTAATTAAGAGATTGACAAAGAAAAAATTTTCAGTCCCTGATGTGAGCCGGCCAAGCTACTAGAGCACTGCCTAAGTATCATTTCATTTAAATCACAGGACAGTTCCATGTCCAAGAGATAAAGCCTCATCTATCAGATGGGGAAATTAAGGCTGAGGAAAGCTAAGTGTCCCCTCCAGGTCACACTGCTAGAAGCGCTGGCACATACAGCTTGAATACAGGTCTCAGCATCAGACCCTGGGCGCCTTCTCTACTTACCACTTTCTTTCCCTGCAAGAAAAACAAGCATGGCTGTTCTCAGGAAATCCCCCAATTTCATAAAGGAATAATTGAGGTGGTAATTATTTGTGTTATAGAATAATTATTCTGTTTGTCACAGAGCTTGTTTAGTAGAGACTCCCAGCGATTCTTGTTTGATGAACATCTGGGAATATAGAGAAGCTTTAGGCTAAGAATGACAGACTGCTAACAGTGGGAGGGCAGCCAGAAGTCAGACCTCTTGCTTACTCAAAATTCAGCACACATTTATTAAGCACTTGCTTGAAAAGCGCCCAGTAGATACTGAGAGCATACTAGTGAGTAAAAACAGATGTGGTCCTACTTCCCAACAGTTTATAATATAGTGAGGAAGACATTACTCAAATGCTCTCCTAAATTAATAGAACATTATAGCAGTGAGAAGTATTACACAGGAAAGGCACTTGGTGTTGGTGAAGTGTATAGTCAGGATGCCCAGTCTCATCTCCTTTCCTTGTGTCTGGATGGGAATGGTCAAGTCACACGTCTTTGTGACAAAATGGATTGAACTTTTGCTATATTTGAAGCTTATGAATAAATTCATGTAACCTAGATGAATTGTTATAATATTAGCTCGTGATTGGTAACTGGGTTTTTGTTGGTTTAATTGTAGCTCTCATTAAATCATTCTACAAGTTATGAACTGGTGTACATGCTAAAAAAAAACACTGTTGTATTATGATCAGTTGTGAGATCTCTCAAAAGTGGTTTATTACTAAAAATATGTAAGTTTATGAATGATCTTTTTATTTTTAATTTTAGATGAATGATTTAAAAAAATTAGCTGGGGGCTTTCATGCCATCAGATTGGTAAAAATTTAAAAGTTTGACACTACATAGTGTAGACAAGGATGGGGAGTAATGGGAATGACTATATTGTTAGTAAGAGTGTACATTAAGCCAATTTCAGAAACCAATTTGAACATTACCTAGTAAAGATACATATATGCATATTCAACAACCCCGTTGTTTTATTCCTAAGTATTCACTTCTTGATTTGGGGAGATTGTTTTTGTTTGTTTGTGTTTTACAATGAGAGTCGCACTGTTGCCCCAGCTGGAGTAGAGTGTCACAGGCATGGTTACAGCATACTGTGGCCTGGGACTCGTGGCTGCAAGCCGTCCTCCCAGCTTAGCTTCTGAGTAGCAGGGAGGGACTACAGGCTCATGCCACTGTGCCAGGCTGGAGAGATCCTTAAACATATTCCCCAGGAGTTGAATACAGGAGGGTTCATTGCCGCATTGTTACAATGGCAAAAGACAAAACAAAAGGTAGAAATAACCAGTAACCCAGCCGACCCTATGCTGTAAAATGGATAAAAACATTTGATCTATTTATATAATGGAGCGATCATTTATTTGGCGGTGAAAATTAACTCCAGCTACACACATCATCAAGCATGAATTTTCAAAGCTCTGGATTTCAAAAGCAAGTTATATCAAAATATATACACTATAATTACATTTATTTAAAGTTCAAAAACAGGGAGAAGTAAATGCACAGTGGATAAAATTGCGAGGAAAACCCAAAGGAAGGCCAAGAGAATTCAGTGACTGATTCTTTCCGCCGGGGGAGGTTATGTTCTCAGTAAGGAGGACATGGGGGCTTTAACGATCTTAGTAAACCGAAAGGCTGGGTGCGAGTTCTGCTCGTGGGTCTGGATGTTGTTTCCTGTTCCTTAAAATGTTCTGTCTCGTATACACTTTATGTGACAGGCTTCATAATGGCAAGAAGGAAAACTTACTTACCGGTTATTCCTACCATAACTTGACTGAATTGCCTTCCAGTCTGTTTCCTTGAGTGGGCAGGAATTCCGCGGTGTCGAAGGTCATAGGTGGGGAGTCTGGGGAGGAGGACACTCGCTGGACCATCTCCCTCATCACGGAGGGCGGCTAAGACCCACTGCTGCTCCCAGCCTGTGGGGGGGCGCGGGGGAGGGCGCAGCTGGGACAGCGCCGCGGGAGGCTTGCGCGCACTGTGGAGAGAGGCGTGTTCGGAGCGCAGGGCTGGGGCGCGCCGTCGTTTCAGCGGGCGCTCGAGCAGCTGGCAGGGGCCGTGGGAGGGGCCG